CAAGGTGAAAAAGGAGTACAAAAAAAGTGAAAAGAAGGCTTTTGGCATGATTGCAAAAAATCTTGATGATGCCAATTTTTCACATGTAATTGCTTGCAATAGACCAGCAAAAGTATGTGAGACTCTTTGCAACATCTATGATAGTAGAAACCTTGATAATATTCTATGGACAAGGAAGAAGTTCTTAACAATAAAGATGGAAGAAGGAGCTGACCTCATGGCTCATGTCAACAAGGTAAAAGCACTTGTAAACCAAGAAGCAGTTATTGACACACTAGTTGATGATAGAGAAATTGTATTGACATTACACATGAGCTTTTTCGAGTCTTACAACTACCTCATTGTGGTATTGGAGTCTATCAACATGAAAGAGCTTACCATGAATTATGTCACATCAAGACTTACTCATGAAGTAATTAAGAAGAAGAAAAAAAAAAAAAAAAAAAAAAAAAAAAAAAACTTCAAAGTGATGATTTGGCTCTATTCTCAAGACAAGGCAAATGTAACTTTCTATACCAACGTGATAATTCAAAAAGCAACATAAATAATTGCTATATTTATAAAAATCAGATCATTTTGCTAGAAATTACTACAAGGCTAAAAGAAGAAATAGGAAAAATATAAACAATATTAGTGATAGTTTTGATGGAGATGATTATGCTTTTATATCAAATAAAGGAGCCTCCATGGCTGTCATGTATAAGTAGATTATAGATTAGGGTGCTATTAAGCACATGATACTACACAAGTATTTATTTGATACTTATAAAGCAATTCCAACAACAAAAGTATAGTTGGGAGATAATGACATGGTGTAAGCTATTAGAATTGGCTCCATTGTGGTGGAGATTGTGATAAAGGACCAAATTAAGAGAATCAGATTGAAGGAGGTTTTACATGTAGCAAAGATGAAGAAGAACCTTCTTTTGATGAGCAAACTTGTATCTTATGGATGTAAAGTTTAATTTGACATGGATGGATGTTTTGTGAAGACATTGAGTGGACAACATATTGCCAAAGGCCTTAGACATGGCAACTTCTACTTCATCAATTGTAAGAAGGTGAATAGAGTTGAAGTGGCAACACATGCTGATTTTCCACAAAATCAAGAGAAGTTTGGTATTTGGCATCAACAACTTAGTTATTTGAATACTAAAAGCATAAAAGACCTCCAATCTATGATAAATGGCTTGAACCTTGGTTAATTCAGCTACAATACTATGGTACTTGCTTGTAAAGATTGTATCCAAGACAAACAATAAAAAGCTTCATTTCCAAGTAGAATTGCAATACATACAAGAAAATTCTTGGAGATGGTTCATTCGGATATTTATCAACCAATGAAGACACCATCAATTAAAGGAGCAAGTTACTTTGTCATATTTATTGATGATTTCTTAAGAAAGATATGAATATACATCATTAAAGCCAAGAGTGAATTTTTCTCAAGGTTTAAAGAATTCAAGGCACTTGTGGAGAAGCAACGTAAGTGTAAGATAAAAGTATTATGTATAGACAATGGAAGTGAGTACATGTCAAAATATTTTGATGATTTTTTGAGAAATTAAAACATTACAAGATAAACTTCTATTCCTTATATTCCACAACAAAATAGAGTTGCTAAAAGAGCAAATTGCACCATTGTAGAGATGGCAAAGAGTATGCTTCATGCACAAAACTTTGGGCATGAATATTGGATGGAAGCCATGATTAATACAGTATATACAAGGAATAGATGTCCAACAAGTGCACTCACATCAATGACTCCACATGAAGCTTGGAGTGGCAAAAAATCTTATCTTTTATATATGAAGATCTTTAGATGCATTACTTATGTAAAGAAATTAGATTGCATGAAGTCCAAATTTGATGCAAAAGGAACAAAATGTGCATTTGTTGGGTATTGTGAAGGTAACAAGACATATAGGCTCATGTATTTAGAAACCAAAAAAATCATTAAAAGTCGTGTTGTAGAGTTTTTGGGATACAAGAGTGCTTGTGAGCACTTGGAGATGTGTTCAAATGGAAATAATGGTGTGTTTATGGACACAACTTTAAATCCAACAATAAAAGAAGAAGAAGATAATGATAGTGAAGATGGTGGAATTTCAAATCAAGATGAAGAAGCAAAGAAGGTAGATCATGAAGTACCTACAATTGCTAAAACCAGCAATGAAAAAAATCAAGTTGTTGAAGATGATGATGGTGTTGAAGAGTACCAACTTTTAAGTGTGAAGAGATAAATTTTAAGAGAAAATAAGATTGCAAGAGCTATTGGAGTGCATGAAGGTGAATCTTCATCAAATGAAAGGAGATATCTTATAAGAGATCAAAAACAACTTAGTACATGGTCAAAGAACCACATCTTTCCTCAAATAAGTAAAAAACATGAGCCTATTTAAACACCTTTGGATGCTAATTTGAAGTTGATGAAGCTCACAAAAGAAGAATTTTTTGAAGTTGGAAGACAAATGCAAGGTGTTCCATACAAAGTAACAGTGGACTCACTAATATATGCAATGGTTGGCACAAGGGTAGATCTTATATATGCGGTGAGTGTTGTGAGCTAACACATGTCAAAGGCTAGAATAATCTATTGAACAACCATCAAAAGAATCATCAGGTACTTAAAAGGTCAACAATGAGATATGTATTCTTTTTTGGAGTGGAAACAATTTCATGGAATTGCAAAAGACAACCAATAATTGTAAGGTCAATAATAGAAGCGGAGTACATGGCAGCAAGCTATGGTGCAATGGAAGCAATATGGCTAAGACAAATTTTAGAGGATATTACAGTAGTGCAAATGGAAGAAACTCTAATGAAGTGTGACAATTAAAGATGTCTTACTTTTGCAAAGAATCCAAAGCATTATTCAAGGACCAAACACATTGACATTCAACATCTTTTTATACAAGAGAAGATTGAAATGGGAGTAATTGATATGAAGTATTATACAACGGAAGACATGCTTGCTAATTTGTTGACAAAGGTATTAATAAAGGATAGATATCACATATTAACAAAGGCTTTAGGATTGAAAGCCCCTTGACCAATAGCAAAGTGGAAGTATTGAAGTAAGTAAGTAAAAATAGAAAAAATTATATAGTAAAAGATATTACCTTAAGTAAGTTGCTAATGATCAAAGAATTGACTCTTGGTGTATGGAAAGGACATCCTATGGATATAGGATGAGATCAAGGACCAAGAGTCAAAATTAAGAAAATAAAATATAAACTAGGAAATATCCAAAGATTAAGTAAGAATAATTAGTATTTGGCATAGGATACCTTTGTAGTTAATAAGATGCCAAAAGATCCAAGGACCATAGAATATCCTTGATGTATGTTAGATACCAAAGGATCCTAGGACCTAGAATCATGTGTGTAAAAGTCAAAGAGTGGAAGTTGTCTTGTAGGACAGCAACCACAACCTATAAGTATTGGATATTGAAAGTGAGAGACATCTTACTCCATACTGTCTTTTTGTGCAACCTTGTTGATGCTATGTTTTGTGACTTCAAAGTTCTATTTTTTTAAAGTTCTTCAATAATACTTGCTCTCAAAATAAAGAATAAAATCTTGCAAAACTTGTAGATTTTCTAACAAATTTAATACACAATTTTCTTGAAGAAACAAAGGATTTCCATGGACATAAGAGCCTTCATAAGAATAAGACATATTTTAAAGTATCTACAAATAATTAGATTTAAAGAAATTTTATCATGATTTGAACAATATTTTATAATATTTTTTTTTACAGTTACACATCTTATCATATTCTATTAGAATAAACTACATGATTTAATATTTCTTTCATGACACTATATTTTTTTTTCAAAAATTAAAAAATTTATTTATATTTCAAGGCTCCAATTGCAATTACAGACAAGAAGAGATCATAATCTATGAATTGGTTTGTGTTTTGAAATAATATGTTCATTGTTACCCTCTAAAATCTGCTTGCTTGTTATACCAATAGCTCGAGTAACATTCATTGTAATTAGCATTTAAAAAAAATTAAGAGTATTTTATGAATTAACTAATGACAAATCAAGTCAAAAAATATTAAAAAGTGAACCAAACCAATTTTAAGTTCTTTATGCAATAAGACAGTGCTAATATATATATATATATATATATAGATATATATATATATACATATATATATTGATGTTTTATGTGTATTTATATTTTTAAGTATAAATTATTGAAGACATATATTTGCTCTTCACATTACACTCAATATGTTTGAACCAATTGGAGCAAACTTAATATTAATGTTTTCTTAGAACCACTATTATTTTAAAAACACTCTAATTAAAATTGAATGGTAGAAAACCAATATTTGTGAAATGCAAGTTGAAGGTTGATTGTCATGTCCTCAAAATAGATCTCTTTAATTTACAATATAATAAAAAATATTGCATTATTTTGTGGATCCAATAGAATTGTCAAGGATTAATATAAAAATTTCTTGATAATCCAAAATAGAATCGTTTTGGGTCCTGATGCTTGGAATATTGGCTAGGGAATTCATTGACCCAAACTTCAATAATTCGACATGAAATCAATAAGAAAATTATATATAGGGGCAAGCATGGGCAGCTTTGAGCTCCAAATTCACAAAGCTAATATGACTCAACTTTGGAATAGGAAACTCTCCATAAGGATGGAAAAAGTGTTGTGAATCAAATAGATTTCACATACTGTGATCCTGTAAAGACAATACCAATAATCAAATTAACAATTAATTAATTAATTTGAAAATGTTGATTGGTATGGGAGAACAGGAGATCAGAGACAGACCGATCCGATCATTGGAGAGTAGAGAATAAGTTCATCTGGAAGAATTTAACATTATCTTTAATCGTCCACTATTGTTTGAGTAGAAAGTCTAAATTTATGATAGCCTACATCTAACAAACACAATAACGGGCCTGCAACGGTCAACTTCAACCACACAAAGCTGTAGTTATTGTTCAGTTGGCAGAACTAGGGTCAATTTTCCAACACCACATCGCAAAAGAGTGAATATATTAAGAAAAAATCACACTACAATTTGGTTTGAAGGTGATTGAATGCTGCAAAGAGTAGAAGATGATGAAGTTCAACAGATCAGAAGTGAACTCCAACGCATCCTTCATTATCTTTGCATTCAATTTCTACACTAAAAGAGGTTGTTTCACACCACTTCGAAGCTTTTGTGTGGTGAGTAAGAAAATAGTATGTATACAATGGGGTTTGTGTCTTATGCAAGCTGCAGTACATGATGTTCCACTGGACCCCAACAATCGACACCAGCACTAGAAGCTCGGCATTGGATTGTTCTTCTGTTGATGATGCCGCGGAGGCTTCCATGATCTGAGCTCCTGCAGGAACTTTTGCAGGCTTTTCGGCACTGATCCTCCTTCCGAGACTGCAGCTAACGCTAGATTTCTCAGCTTAAGGGCGTTGATCCTGCACAATGCCCCTTCCGGCTCTCTCATCAGAGACCTCACAACTTTTGAGATATGATCCTTGGTGATGAAGCCATCGGTGAGTGTGCAAACTTCGAGGGCCACTTTCGCTTCGTCCACGAGAAACCTGCAGTCAGGATGCGAGAGTTAGTAAGTGTGTTAGGGCGTGGATTGGGTGCAATGGTGATTGAGGGTTCATAGGTTGTGGACATGGTTCCCACCTGGCGTTCATGGCCTGCTCCGCTTGAATTGGCCATGTGAGCATCGGTAGTCCTTGGCAAAGGCCCTCCAGTGTTGAGTTCCAGCCACAATGCGACAAGTATCCGCCGACAGCTGGGTGCGACAGTACGTACAGTTGCGGCACCCATCCGAAGTGGACGAAGCCTCTACCTTTGATGCGTTCTTCGAAACCTTCGGGAAGCAAGGCCACATTGTCTGGATTCGGTGGTGGGCGAAGAGCAAGCAGAAATCGTTCCCCGCTGGCTTCTAAGCCAAGAGCCAGATCGTGAATTTGAGGAATAGGTACCGTGGCCACGCTGCCGAAGGATGCGTACACAACCGCAGATTCGGGCTGCGTGTCGAGCCATTGCAGGCACGGTTCCTGTTCTTTCATGTGGGCAGATGCCTCATGGATCTTGCCATTGACATAATAATCCGGTAACAATGGTCCAACAGGAAGTATGCTGAGCAGATGTGGTTCCTGAGCAGACAGACAGGCAGCAAGATGTGCGAGTATCGATTCAGGACTATTACAGTACAACTTGATGAAAAAGCGGTTCGACACATACTACTTGTTGAATTTGTCCAGTTGTACAATTGGAGCGAATCAAATCTTGGGCATCGAATCAGATAATCTGGAAGTTTAAGACTGACCTTGCCGCTGATGTCTCCATATACAGTTTGGCGAACAGTATCGATGCACGGAGCCTCTAACTCGTAGTACGTATTGATAAGAACACCAGCCGCGTCATGCATATCGTAAGCGTTTTGGACAAAGAGAGAATAAAGGAACCTAGTGTGAATCTGCAATGGCGATGGCAGATCGACTATGCGAGTTGGGGGAACTCCAGGGATATCGTGCACTAGTTCCAGCCATTTCGATCGATCTATCGGTAAACGACCCTGCCTGATAAGTTCCGGCACATGCAACATTGTGGGCAGTGCGGATGCTGGAGACGAAAACAACACATATCTGGGAATATTGAACTTGTCAGCAACAACCTGCATGAATCGAGGATACTCTAATCAGAAAATCAGCCGCTAGTTTCTGCTAACTCCACGTCCCATACCTGACGCTTCAAAACTAGGTAAAGCTCAACAAAATCTCCTTCACATAGCAGACCAAATAAAAACACCTTACCTGCGTCCACCCTAGAAACATGTCACTAACAAGACAAGCCGGCGGAGCCTCCTTGTTCTCTGCAAACAGTTTTTCCATCATGAACATGGAGTCTGGCACGAGCTCATTCGCGTGTGCCACGTAAGGGAGCTCGCCGCTCCCTTCCCCCTCGGGTGGCTGCACCCCAAGCTCCACCACTCGCATACTGTAATCGAGGCCATCTAATGTCCTGATGTGTTCTTCCGACAAGTGGCTGAATGTGTTCACAAACGTGACAACCACGTCCATCGAGTGTAGACGCTTCGCCAAGTGTAGCAACGGAATACTGTGGCCCTTCGCAGGGTACGGCAGAATCACGACGTGCAATTTTTGTTCGCTCGGGTAAATGGCCACCTCCTCCATCGCGATCGAACCCATTTCGCAACGAGAGCTTAAAGTTACACCGAACTTAAACCGCTACACTACCCGAACTGTTCCAATCTTACTTAAATAGAGCTACATAAATCGCAAACACAGAATAGAGGAGAGAGAGAGAGAGAGAGAGAGAGAGAGAGAGCTACGATATTCGCTAACGCTAAATCGGCAATGCACAGCGGCTCATGAGCTCAACTTTCGACATCATCCGCATTACTACCTACTGAACCCACTCAGGGAGTTCCTATACAACCCAACTTCTACTTCAATATTGTACAGGCTTCATAAGTACTGACTTGACATCTACAACGGAGAGTATCTAGCAGTGCCGTAGCCGAACGACCCGCAGTGTCCTTCATCCGAAAAAAACATAAACTACGCGCCTAACACTACGCTGACTGTAGAAGTGAAGCACAGCTCCAAAAACCCCACAACAAAAATCAGGAGACAAAACTTCGTTGAGCCAACCACGTCAGGTACCGTAACACTAATCAGAATCCACCTACAGTGCTCAAGTAATGCAACACAACACCAAGGGTTCAGATCCCGGGTGCGAAGTGCATCAATGCCCTCAAACGCCTTGGGATTCCCTCACTATACTCACCAGATAGAGAGGCACAGGATATAGAAGCTCAATGCGCGCCGACGCGATGCGGTGGGATGCAGCTCCAGCACCATGAACTATCACTACTGATACTGATACAGCAACCAATAATAACATCCATGAACAACAAGAATACCGAGGTGGGGTCGCGGAGGAGGAGTGATTCCATTCCATTCTATTCGTTTCCATGGCTGCAAGTCCCTCGTGGGATTGCCTTTGTTGGTGCGAGTCCCCGATCTGAGCAAAGATTGAGCGAGTGAGCGAGCAACGTGGGTCTCGGGGCTTGACGCGTCCGGCTGCCGGAGGCCACACAATACTCCTACTCTACTCTACGCTACTGTTATAGTGCTTCATTCTCGTTTTTTTCCTTCCTTCTTTCTCTGTTTATTTCGCCGTGTTGTTCAGTTGGTGGTGGTGGGTGGACTCGACTGTCCTTCACTAATTTGCATTAAAAAAGACGTTGGGTCGGTTTGTCTTATTTTGATCGTGATCTTATGGGGAGAGATTGGCAGTCCTTTACTACTGTTTTGATAGTGTGTGTGTGGAGGAGGAGGGCGTTGCACAGTGTGTGTGCTTTGGTTTGAAATAAGAGGGATTGTAAGTGTTATTGGGCAGGGCAGTACATTTCTTGTGATTCTCTTTATTTGGTGTTGTTTTTGGACGGATGTTGTTGGACGTTTGTTTGAGGTAGAGGGTGGGCAACTGCTTTACCAGTTGTGTAGGGGATTGTTTGTCACCCTTAATCCTTGACATCTTCTACACTTTAGTCCTTTAGCTTAAAACTTTTAAATCTCTTACCTTTAAACATCTTAATCCCTTAGTCCTTATTTCTAAATTTTAGTTAAGCGAAAAGTGTGTGTAATGAGAAATAAAAATGTGTTTGTTTTCTCCAAGATCTTGGGCAACAATAAGATGCAGTAGATGGACATCACGAAGGATAATTATTTGAAAGATCTTTTGGAAGAAATTTGTATAGAATATCTTTTTGAATTACTTATTGATTATTTGCAGGATTTTTTAAATTTTTTATTAAAGTTAGTACAAAGATTTTTGATTAAAGTTAGTACAAAGATGTCTTGTATAACATATTATATATTATCATTAAATAAGACAAAAATCTAAAAAAATAATATACTCTTGTATCAATATAAGAGAAAAATTAGACAAATAAAAAACAAATATAAAATAAAAATAATCTAACAAAGATATTGCTAATTATAAATAAGTTAAATAGTCTTGACTTAAAACTTAAATACAAGAAAGGTATTAATAAGACTAAGGATGGACTTAGTCTTGTTTCTATACATTCTAAATTTCAAGGTCTTATGGAAGCTTTGGAAGGACCTTGAGGCTTGTATCCCAAGCATTAAGTTGTAATTTGCTTCTAATGTAATTTTCTAAAAAATTATAAAATAAGTCTCAATATCCATGTGGCATATATATAAGATTTTAAATATCTAATTCAAATCTTTAAAACTTTTATAAAATTTTATAAAAAAGATATTATCTATCTAAAATATTTCTATATTTTTCTATATACTTCTATTTGCTTATATTTATTTAAGTAATAAAAACATCCATCACATTACATCTCTTTTAGATAAGAAGTGATAAAATGACCAATCAAATTATTTCATAAGTTGATGAAGTCTAAAACCTATTGAATAATACTAGCAACAAAATCTAATCTATATTTTCTAATAATATCATTAAGCATCAAGAGTCTCTTTTAAGATTGTAATATTAAATATGCTATATTTTGCCATCTATTTGAAAAAGAACATGTCTTTCTAAAGAATCTTCATACGAATATCAATATTATCTACATTAAAGCAATCCAAGTCCTTCAACTCATAATTCTATAAATGACATGTCATAAAATGAATCTATTGGATGTTTAATTCTCTATGTTACAAAGAAATTTTAAATTTTTTTTTCCAATTTTTTTTTTGCATTTATTTATACCATCTTTTTTTCAATAATTATTCATTGGTTTTTATAGATGCTGTTAATAAAAAGCAACAAGTTCTAATACATTTATAAGATTTTTAAATGGCTCTTATATGCATTCATTAGTATCATATCTGCATCAATGTACAAGATATTCTAACTTATTTTAATACTGCTATAAATCCAAGACTCTTTTTATCATAACTTTTTAGTTGTTATTTATTTCAATAAAAAATAATAATAATTACTTTTTTCTAGTATCTTGATTGTAATATAAGACATAATGATAGACAAATGGAATATAAGATAAATATTTATAGATTTTAGTAATTGCAATCAATATGTATTTAAAATAATAAATATGATAAGTCTTTAGTAATCCAAATTTTTATAAGATTAATTTGACTTAATATTGCAACAAAGTAATTGTATCTTATCACTAGATTTAAATGGGAGTTTTTTATTTTTATTTTTAATATCATTATCTAATTTTTATTATTTATGAGTCTATATTAATTTATCTTTAAATTAAAGTACCATATTATAATATATATAATTTATTAATGATATTAAAATTATTCAATTGCTTCAAAAATAGTTGATTATGAATTTTAAATATTTTTTCAAAATATTATTTTTATGTACTTGTAGTAGCAAGATCTTTAAAATTCACTTATAAAAATAATATATTTGAACTTGCTTGTTTTAATTGTACAATTTTTTAAAAAAAACACTAAAATTTATTATTCACTTCTTCTACATGTGCAGCAAAAATGCTTCTATACTCAAGATTGCTAGTACATGAGATTTTTGCTTAAGGAATATTAAAATGGTTTTAAAGATTTACAATAGTTACAAATTAATTGTCACTTATTCCAGGTGTAACATGTATAGTTTATTTTCTTGCTATCTAAGTTGATTTAGATTTAAAATAAACAACAATAACAAGCACATAAGTTAAATTAAAAGAGAGTAAATAACATTCCTAATGTTAAATGACTTTTTAAAAAGAAATGTAATCTACTCTTTTTTAAAGTAAAAATATAGTACTATAAAAATAAAAAATAAACAATTGATAATATTACTTTAAATGTGAATAATTTGCAACCTCTAAAAGTAATAATGTTTCTTAAGAAGTAGGATAATTTACTTACTTTTAAAGAAAAAAACCAAAAAACATTAATAGTCTTGTCAAACTATCAACAACATAAAAAAAATAGCTGTTGCTAATTATAAAGAAGCTAGACAATCTCGAATTAAAATTAAAATAGAAAAGGTAATAAAAAGTTAGTGGATATCAAAATAGTCTTACCTCTGTATATATTATATACTAAAAAGAACTTGTAGAAGCTTCCTAAAAAATTTAAATCTTATGGTCCAACCATCAAGTTGTGAATTGCTTCCAATGCAACTTTTTAAATGTGAAAAAATAATATTACAAGTTTCAATAGCAATATAACATCTTTATAAATGTTTAAATATTTGATCTAGGAAACTTTATAAACTTTTTAAAACAAAACCACTATCTATTTGATATTTTTATATCTACTTCTACATACTTCTATTTGTTTGTATTTACTTAAATGATATAGGCATTTGTTATCCATAGTAAATAAAATATCAAATTTAATAACATGTAATATATATAAAATAATCTTTGAAGATGTTTATTTAACATCATTTGTTAATAAAATATTATAGATATAAAAATAAATATTATATATATACATACAAATTATTATTATTTATGTGATTATTTATATGATAAATATAATATTTAATATATTATGTAGTAAATTATTTATATTCTTATAATTAGATGTGTAGTTATTTTATTTAAACATCCATGTGATATTTTGATATTTGAATTGAAGTACATAAATTCTCTAATTTTGGTTTTAAGATCTTATTAAAATATGTAGCACTAATTATTCTTTTAAATCTCTATATACATATAATAGCCTTAAAAAATTTAAAAAGAACAATATAATATTAGATTAATAGTGAATCTTAAATTTTCATATTTTTGTTTTTATAAGTGTGTATAAATATTTTATATATATATATATATATATATATATATATATATAGAGAGAGATATTCATAAATATTTTATTCACAAGAGAAAAATAAATAATTCATAAAAATATGATATAAATTACATCAACTAAAATTTTGTATTTTTACTATTTAACAAATTTATCGTGAAATTGGAAATGTAATATTTAGTATAGAAATATAATGTGCATCTTTAATTTCTTCTTGAGCAATGGCATCTATTTTTTTTAAAACAATTATACTTAAGAAATAAGGTGAGAGGCCAAAACTTTTAAATCTATTGATTAGTTAAAATTAAGAAGCATCTTTGAATTAGCAATTTACTTCTTTTTTAAAAATAAAAAATTTAATGGCACTAAAAAAAATCTAAGGTAGAATGCATTTTTTTTCTTACATAGTATTAATAGTACAATCTATTAGAAGTTTTATTGGATCTTGATGGGAGGTTTTTCAAAAAGTTCAAGAACACATGTCAAAAATTACTTAAAAAATCTTTAAAAAATAATGTATTCCATTTTTTTTATGATCACTACCATTGTTTAAATCAAAATACAAGTAGACATATATTGACTTCTTGTGGAAGAGTGATTTAGTCCATTTCACAATCTCTTTTCACTTTATACTAGATCTAAGGGCAAATACCTTTTATGGAAATTTTTTTTTTTTTTATTAAACAAGGGGCATTGGTAAGGCTTTTAAATTATAATCTTTTAAAATGGGATTTTAGGTATTAAAGATGTATTATTAGAAATAATAATATTAATAATAATAAAATAAATTTTAATATGCATGTATATAATTTATAATAAAATTGTGCATAAAATAAATATGCATTTAAAAAAAAATTAAAGGTTACACTTTTTAAATAAAAATTAATAACTAACATACTAAGATTAATATATATATATATATATATATATATATATATATAAGTTTCATTCAAAATTGAAACAAAGATCTAAATTTCTACACATCTGTATTTTTAATTTATAACTATAAAAATTCAAATCTTATTATTTTAGTATAGTTTGTTTTAATAGCTCTAATTTTTAGATAAGTTAAAAATTAATAAAAATATTTTTTTATCCATATTAAAACTCTAAAATTGATATGAATAAAGTAGATTTTATTTTATAATACATTTTTATAGAAGTAAATATTAAAATATAGTTGCAATGAACTACATTTTTCAATAAAATCTGTTGCAACTATATTTCAATATTTACTTCTTCAAAAAATAATTACATTATTTATGGTGTGCCTAACATTATTAAATATTTATTTTTTTACCATCATCTTTTTTTATCCATATTTTATTATACAAATAGATATTTAAAAGTAAATAATAAAAAAGCCAAATTAAAAAATAAGATTAAGTATTAAATAATATTAATGGTTTTAATATCTTATGAAATTGTACTTAAAATTTAATTATTTTTTATTAAATCAACATTAATAAAAAAAAGCCACAAGAATTTATTTTATATATTTAATTATTGATGAAGAATTTTTTTTCAAAAGGGATATTAAAAATAAAATAATTTAGATATTATTTTTTATTATTTTTATATGATTTTTATTAAAAAATAAAATTTATTTAATTTTAAACATTATAGAATAGTAGTTAAAATATATTCATAATATTTAAATTTTAAAATATATAAAATAAATTTTATCATAAATTTTTAAGATTATTATTCTTTCTAAATCTTGGCCTTTTAATTTTCATCTCTAATTCTTAAACTTTAGTTAATATACCTAATAATAATAAAAAAAAATAAAGAATTAAAAATGCATATTTGATTTTTCATAAACTTTAGCCATCAATAAGAAAAATGAACATTATAGAGGATATTTATATGAAGAGACATATTTTACAAGAGAATCATATAGAAAGTATCATGTACAACCACATACAAATTATTTGCAAGAAAAAAACATATTTTATACAAGAATGAAGTTAGAAGAAATATTTCTTTTGAATAAGATATCATTTTTTAAATAAATGTCCATGTCAAATACATATAGGTGATTGCTTGTTTGAATTTGAAATTGATTTGTTAGTAGTACCTTTATTTGATTGCTTGATCATGATGTTAAACGTCAATTCTTTGATTTGACATCTTAAATTGATGGGTTGTTCTACCTTACTCTTATGTCACTTATCAATTCATCAGTCCAACTTTGCAGCTTTTGGATTGAGAGTCAATTGTTGATTATTTTTTCCTAAACTAGAGTTCAACTTGATTTAACTAGGATCTTTGATTATATATACTTAAGAGACACTTAAAGGATATTTAAGATCCCTTATGACTATTCTAATCTTTCTAATACTAAAATATGGTATTTTTAGCCAAAATAAATAAATAAATAAATTACTTTCTCTATTTAGCCAATATGTAATAGGAAACCATGAAATTGGTCTTCGATAATAGCTTACAAGAAAAATTTGAAAGAGTTAATCAATCCCTTAAGTTATATATATATATATATATATATATATATATAATTTTTAAAACATGTACGAGATTTAAAGAATACGATTCAAAAATCAATATTACATTACATAAGAAGTTTAATTTTTTAAACATATGTTTATATATAAATACATATAAGAATTTATAATATGTATTTAAAATTTTAGAATTTTAATTATTCTATTTATTATAATAACATTAATTTTTAAAATATATATTTATAGTTCTTTTTGAAATTTTTATTTAAAAAATATTATAATATATATTTATGAGTATCTTTTTAATTTTATTAAATATGTAGTCTAAAGAATTTTAATCTAATAAATATATTTTCTGATTAATGCTATTATAATTTAATTTCTTTTATATTAATATTTAATTTATATAAATTCCTTTAATTACAACTATTAAGTTATTCATATATTAATAAGATAATTAAAAAATTATACTTAATCTTACAAAAAATATTAAAATATATGATTTTTTCTATTATAATAATAAGAATATATATACTAGCATATATGGTTATAAAAACTTATTTATAAATAAACCATAAAATCCATGCTTCTATCTTATAACTCTATTTTATTATCTCTTTTTTGTGCTACAATCTTATATGCTCCAATTTTTATGTTTAATGTAAAAGTATAAAGACATAAACTTTCTAACTTTTTATTATTTTTATTATTCATCAATATAAAAAATTAATTATTTTTGTAGGATGTATGGCACAAGAGATTTCTACACAATAAAAGAGATGTATCTACCTTATCATTGTTTTTTTTTATTTATCCTTATTACAACTTCAATGCTCATACTAATATGATATGTTTATATCATTTTATGAAAGAGATTATCAGCCAAAATCATAATTTAACAAGTATAATATATTAAAATAATAATTATTAATTAAATTATCTTTATTTAATGATATTATTGATATAATTATTATGTAATTGTTTAAAAAAATACATACATTTGTAGAGATTTATATATATATAAATTATACATTAAATAAATAAATAAATATATATATATATATATATATAATGCTTTTAATATAACATAATTCCATACATTAATAATCCTATAAAATATTTTTAAAATATAGGTAAAAATAAAATATTATACTTTGTCTTATCTTTAAAAAAAAATCAAATATCACAATTATTACTCTACTACTTAATAAACTACTTTTGGAGCTCAATAATAGTTAAACTTGCTAAAAAAATCTACTTTTTAAAATATATATAAAAAAATGTTAAAAAATGACCTATCCATTTATTAAATTTATCCACCTTTTTGTAAAAAATGAGAATGATCAAGATGAAGAAGAAAGAAAATAGAAGCAGCAGAATTAAGAAGAAGGGGACTAGAAATAAAGACCATGATTGTAGTAATGGTTTTTAGAGATGATTAATTTTTTTAATAATAGTTATAATGTTGTATGATAATATGACTATATAGTGAAAGAAAAAATTAAAGATTATATTATGAAGGAGCTTAAATGAAAATAATTTAGTAAATTATCTTAGAAATACAAATAATAGATAATGAAGTAGCAAAAGTTAATAAATACTAATGTTGTATTTTTAAAGAAATTTGATGTAAAAAATGTAAAAAATTTGATGTCAATTAAGTGTTTAGTTTGAAGGTTGTGAGAGTTTTTGTGGATTATGGTTTCAAATGATTAAAATTTAGGATTAGTGTGGATTTTTGTAATCTTGCAACATTTGCTAATTTGATTGAAGCAAAAATTGGTGAGAGCCATTTAAACTTAAAAATCTATATATTAATCAATTTTTGAAGCAATCGAATAATGGAACAACGAGAAATTGCTAGTGAAAGGTCAACATTCAAGTTGAAGGAGGACAACCATCATGTGAAAGATTTTGACATAATTTCTTTCAATCAATGAATTCAATTCTTTTCAAATTTCATGTGATTGTTAATTGCAAGTGGATTGAAATCCAAGTAAAATTTTAGTTAATAACAATAATTTAATCAATATTTATTGAGATTTTAATCCAACTATAGTAACTAAGGAATATTTATTTAAGAATTTTTTTAGATTATTTAGAATTTGATTAGGATTTAATAAGGATTTAGAATTTCTTTAAATTTTCTTTAAGATCTTACTAGGATTTGATCTAAAATTTAAGATTTAATTAGATTTTTGTTAAGATTTAATTAAAGCTACATCACGATTTGAGAAAAATTCTAGATTAATCTAGAATTTATTTTTAAAAAAAATTAAATTTTATTTTTTAAATTTTGTTTTTAATGTTTTTTACTTAAATATAATTATTTGTCTTAAGTAGTTGTTTTACTATTATTTTAAGTTTTTTTTTTGGGGTTAATTTATAACTTTTTATGTTTCTTTTGCAATTTTGTATAAATTTATTTTGGATTGGTTAAAATTTAATTAGAATTATTAAGAATTACTTAGAATTTTATTATGATTCTATTAGATTTGGTAGAATCTTGTTGCATTTTCTATTTACCTTCTTAATTACTCAATACATTTTCAAACAAAAATTCACATTATATAACAAAGACAAGATATATCAATTTGGTAAAACAGTCGGTTATTTTAACATTTCTCTCTCTATCTCTCTCTATATATATGTGTATTCTAACAATTTAAAATTCAAAGAATGCATTTATTCATAAAAATAAAAAAATAAAAAAATAAAGGATTATGCATTTGAAAATGACAGATTAATTCAGAATCAACAACCAATGTGAAGTAAGACACTAGGTTCAAAATTTAATATTATGTTGAAGATAAATGTAAGAGAATCTGATGATTATATTGAAAACATAATAAAGGGTAGAACTAGGATCTCCTCCATGGCACTTCAAAATAATGATCTCCAGGATGTTACTTCTAAGTGCCCATCTCCTGCATGGTACTTCAAAATGTTTATCTCATGTTTCAGTGACAGCAGTAAAATCGATAAATTCGAAAGTGAGTGTCATGGTTGAGAAAAAGTACCTGAAAAGTTCCCGTAAGAGAAAAAGATGCGTGTATGCTGAAAGTAAGAAATGACGCATCCAGCTTCAAAACATCATTGCAATGATGCACACCTTGGATGCCCGTAGGCAAGTCAATCTTGAGACTCCGCCACTTTTCTCCTAGATCGCTGATCTAATATTTCACTAGTTGCAGCTTCTCTCACAGCATGAAAACAAGTCTTTGAATATCGCCCCCTGCACAAGTGCCCACATAAGAGTTAAAGACCTCTTTCCAGCACAATTGAAGAGTAGCGGTCCATCACAAGCAAGAAGGCATCCTAAACACATACTAACACCTTTTAAGCACACTCAAGTTATGTGCATGACTAATACTACTACTCTCATACAAATTGAGTGTACGCACAGCAGAAGTGGGAGAGAATCTTTTGACGTGTTCCCACTCCAGGCAATGAACTTTGAGAATAACCAAAAGTAAAACTTACCAAAAATGATTCTTGCACCAGGCAGCATAAGGGTAAGCAGGGCTCCATAGTCCATGAAATATACGGGCAACTGCTCTGCCATTGAAATTCTTATTCTCATGAGTTTTCAAAAAGACCTGCACAGGAGGAGAGTATACCAGTTTGAGTGCCATACACCAGTATATCAAAAACAATTCTGTTAGTCGTGTTCGGTTAAGATCAGAATGAATGTTTCACAGACGATCCAAAACAGTTATACTGACGCACACGTTCACCTCAAACAACGCCAACTTTGTTTCTATAAGCACTGAATTACTGTGGAGCTTCGTTTCTTGGTATCATAGCTTTACTACAGGATGACAGTAAGCATACCTTGATGTCTGCCTTCAAGAAAGAGCTGCAATCACAACCGTCCTATCAGTAAAATGAAATATTTCTGAAAACGCAACATTCCAAGAAAAGAAACCATGCGATATACAAGGACAGCTGACTGATAGCAATGTGGACAATGACGCTCAATACTGAAATCACCAATCTGAAATTGGCTTCAACCTTGTGGACTCCACGATACTGGGTACACTTTGATTAATCAAGTCGTCTTGATTTTTGCTAAAGTATGTAGCGATGCAGCTTTGCAGAGATAGCTGTTGATCTGTACATACAGATCCTACGTTCTTGTCTTCGCTACTAAGAGCCGTAGCAGCTGCGGCTGCAGTATACATAGCATCAAGCTTCGCCACCTGATACATTCAAGCCCACTGGGTATGAGACAAACTGAGCGCTGCTTTACAGCGTCTAAAGTGATCGCGCTTTCGGTAACATAAAGCAGAAATGCAGCGCGTTTAGAGTGATGACACTATTGAAATCTGTCGTTCATATTCTGGATTTCATTCTCACCATCCCTATAACTAAGTGCGTTCTTAACATATCTCTAGCGTGGAGTTTAATACACACCTTGCATCTTTCTACCTCGGACAATCGTGCAGAAATCGAAGAAGTCAGAGCACATATATCGTCCGGCACTTCTAGAACGGAGAAGCAAAATGCGAGGTCCTGAAGCTCGTATGCAATTTCTCCAGCGCTCTGTATATTCAAAAATAAATCAAATGGGGTTAGTTTAGAGCTCCCACTCAGATCCAATGACCACACTATACCAGCATAGGTACAAACCAATGCTCAGTTCCGATTCAATGCTAGGCTAGTGGAAAGCCCCTGGGTACAAACCCGATGCAAATTCCGAACTACTCGTCAGAATTTCATTGGAAATACCTGTAATCTTTGGAGCTCTTGCTGCACTTGCAATAAGGAGAGACCGGCATCATTTGCGATGGCAGGAACCTGAAAGGTGTAGTTTCCATTCTTGGGCTGACATCTGCTCAAGCGAAACAACGTACAACAGCGGCGGCCCGTCAACTAGCCGAGATTCATTGAAAGGCTCAAAACAGGTTCGCTCTTTATTTAAAAATGAAAAACCTAGGCAAATGAAGAACATAGTCTCACAACTTGAATCCTAAATACTTGGCGTATGAAAGAGGGCAACACGATCACAATCGCTGACTACTACTGTTCATTCAATAATCTAAAGCGAAAAATACGGATGCAGAAAAAAGGAACATACTTTTGAATGACTGTGGCCACCAACGCACTATGTTTGGCGAGGAGAGCAGCAGATGTCTGACACACAAGCAGAAGACTAATCAGTTCAGAATATTGGATGAAGAGTACAAGTGCAAACCTTAAACTGTGTGCATTAGTTTAAGAAAAATTAAAATAAATTAAAATAGCACTACTCTTACTGCGTAAAATGTTAGGTTGCAAGTTGCTTTAAGCTTGGAATGCACGTGTACATACTGCACGTCCCCTACTTCCATAAAAGATAAAATTGTAGCCATGACCTGTAAAGCCCACGTTTGAGTTACATCGGACAAGAATCACAACGCCCGGCAATATTACTTTTAACTAAAACACCGGAAAGCTCTAACATTGCTAAGGCTTTGAATGTACAGTCGAAAAATCTCGCCAAAATGGAAAGGTATGTTGGAGAAAGTCTTCTTACCTCTTCTTTCAGATCCAATTCAGTGGCTGTCTGTTCAACGTTGATCGAAGTCATAGACTTAGATGCATCTGGTGGGCTCTGAAACACTCGACAGAGAAATTTGTTCACAGCGAAGGTATCTGCGCCGTCACTGCAGTAGAACCGATGTGTCAACTAATTGAAACTGAATTGTCAGAAAATGACCGCGAGAACACACATCATAAAATAAGATGAGAGCCGTCACGTTGATCCTGGACAGTGTTACACGGCATTTACATAAAAAATTATCTTTCTGAACGTTTCAGAGAAGACTGTCCTAAAGAGTAAGGATGCCAACATAAGAGAACCTGTGTGCCAAACTACGAAGTTTCAGATAATCTGTGTCATCCAGAAACAAGTGGCAAAAAGCAGCCTTGCCATCACGACCTGCACGCCCAGTTTCCTGAATCAAAATAAGTTACCGACATTTAGTTCAATCTGCGGCAAAGGGATAGAGTGGTTCTTGCAGAAATTCGCCTCTGAGGAGATAAAGTTGACTACCTGAACGTAATGCTCGAGACTTCTAGGCATATTGTAGTGAATCACCTGCAGCAAAAGTTAACATTCAAGAAGAATGCTCAGTCATCCCACATGCAAAAGATGAAACACAGTATAAATGAATCCTTTTACATGGAAGGAGAGCATGAATTACAAATATTGAACGTTTGAGGCATTATTGACTTACCGAACCAACATCACTTTTGTCCAAACCCATTCCAAAGGCAACAGTGGCAACCACCTGCAAATACACACGGCATGACTTCAACTGTGAAAATAATGATAGAGAAAAGTATCCTGTGTCACTCTTAAGAGCATTGGTATTAAGTCAAGGACAGATCTTACTAGGAGTTCAACTCGGCACCTTTGAGGATCACGAACTGCCAACTTACCACACGTAGTTTATTATGGCAGAAGAGCTGGTACACACGAGTCCGCTCAGAAGATGATACACCGCTATGGTAGCTCTGCAGCAAGAAAAAATCGGTAAAACAGTAACTATGCCTAAGAAATTAACATTCTAAAATAGAACTTGAAATAGCTGTAGACCCGCTGCATCCAACTCTGGTGAAAAGAATCAGATGCTTAGAAAGGCAGACAGACCTTAGCAGCGATCTTGTTCTCCTCCAGGTATCTGCTGATATCATCAGCTTCAGCCTGCACTACCGAGAACATTGTTCAGAGAGTGAACGTGGACAAGGGACACGTACCCACTAAGACTTGACCTAAACTCCACAAATTCAACTTTCAAATGGATACGTCCGGCAAATTTGATACCTGATAGGTGCAGTAGATGATGATACTTTTGATGTCTGAAAATGGAATGGACTGCAGCAGTAAGAGAAGATCTTTGCGTCTGTGGGAAGGAATAAGTCAGGTGCATAAATCATTCCTAAAGATCATTCGGATACGCACTAACTACAGTTTGTATTTCTTGAAGACAAATCTAAAGAAATTCATCCCATACAATCCACTTGTATCAGAAGGAGCCTAGAGTATGGGCCATCAATACCGTAGTGAAGAGCTTGTGATGTAACTTGCCTATGTGAAGATCTTGAAACAGATAGACGAAGATTATGACGAACGCAAGATGCTTCCAGTATTCCAGATGATGGAATAGAGAGGGCTTTAGTGATGGAACACTCAGTATCCTTTGTTGCAGTTGCAGTCAATGCTAGCAAGCATGGAACGCTCAAACGCTGCTTCAATATTTTGCCAAGCCTGTAATATGAAGGTCTAAAGTTGTGTGACCTGGACGAATGAAGCAATCGTTAGTCCCAACAAAAAGGTGACAATATCAAAATCAGGGACCCAGAAAATCTGAACACCTTCAGAAGAACGTATGGCTTAGTTAACATGTATTAAGCATTTCACGTGAAAAGATATGTCGGACATTACCATTCCGAAAGGCAATGTGCCTCATCAACCACAGCCAACGAAATTTCGGGGAGGGAATCCATGGCTGTCAAAAATGTCTCACTGAACAGACGCTCTGGCGAGATAAACAGCACCTTCAATGCAAGAAAACAGGGTACCAAATGAGGTTTAGTTGATAAGCACTACATAGATGTTCATCAAATTGGCTGTAGATATACGATCTCAGTGGTCATCTCATAGCAACGCGCAGGTTGAGGGCCTGCCTTCAACAAAAAACAAGGATACCTACATAGTCATTGGTCGTAGGCAGAGAAATTTGTATTAATTAACAAAATTTTAAATTTTAAAAATTAAACAAGTAGACATTCAGCTGGTAGGAAACGAACCTTGATGTGGCCAGAGATAACTTTACTCATTATTTCGGTGCTCTCACTAGCTGTCTGGTCACACGCAGAAAATCATAATCCGGTAAGTATTTCGTCAGGTCTTGTGGGTGCTGGTACTAATGTGCGTTTCAAGACTCTGGTGCAAAGGGCAAAGAATCCATCAACAAGAGTGTAGATAATAGCAATCGAGATTCTCCAGAAGCACATGTCTATTACGAGATTTATACCTGAGAACTATTAATTAGACCTCCAGGAAGCAGCGGAGGAAGCTTTTGGAGCTGGTCCGCCATTAATGCCACCAACGGACTAATCACCAATGTGAGGCCTGTTAAAATGTACGCTGGGAGCTGCATATCGAACAGTTCGTATACAATGTCACAACGCCACAGAGAGAATCAAGCAATTAACTCCTACGCTAGAACAGTAAGGATGAAGCTACAATTATTAGTCACACTTTGGTCGACCAGAGATGGAAAGAAGCGCAAGACGTTTTCGGAACCAACGGGGCATTTATAGCGTGCACTCACCTGATAGCTAAGAGACTTCCCAGCACCTGTAGGCAACACCAACAAAGTAGATTTCCGAGCCAGAACACGTTGGATAGCTACCAATTGTCCTTGCCGGAATGTCTCATGCCCAAATACGCGCTTCAATATGAAAGACAAATTCTCTTCGGTCGGGTCGAGCAAGGCCTTATTGGCAGCTTCTTTGCAGCGCTCGAGATCCTCCGGGGACTTCTCCACAGGTACTGGGCACGATGTAGCTGCGATTTCCGTAGAGACACTTTTGTTAAACCAACCTTCGTCAACCCACAACGACCGCCCTAAAGTCGACGCACCACAGGCATCCACTCCGTTTTGATTCTTCATTACAGGTTTCCGTATGCTTGGCCCAACCGTTGTATCCACGTTGTTATCACCTTCATCTATCACCGGTTCGCCATCGTCCTGAGATGTTTTCTTGTATCTTTTGAATGTCTTCCGTCGGCCATATACACTTGGCCTCTTAGCTCTGATGCCATTAGTAAACTTACGACGTCCCCCTCTCCCATTTATATTCAGTTTCACGAAGTTGTCTCTCTCCCCGGTTCTGAGCTTGGTCGGTCCGCTCGCAGGCTGTACTCAATCAATGTTTACCAATTATCAAGAAGGATCGGCGGTCAAACACGAATGTAATAGCTGTCGACAAGCAAGCTAATATCCGCGTTGCATCATCGCAAACCAAACCATGTGGATATGTCAAAATGAAAAATAAAATTAGGAGACTACCCAAGGGTCTGGTTCCATCATTCGAGGTCCAACCTACCTGTAAACTACCAATTGAACTTCGATTAGCTTGAATTTTTTTCTTTAAAGCCTTTGGATTCGACCAAGAACTCTCTTCAACTGCTTCTGAGGACGACACCCTCGGCCTCCCCCGTGATCTTTTCGTTGGAAGCTTTTCAGCATTGCTGCCGGATGTTGAGGGCACATCCTCTCCCTCATGTGATTTTGAAGGCAAGTCCCATTGCTCTTCCACATTGATTGAAGTTTTCCCTGCATCGCAAGGATCAGAACTGCGAGTGGTTTTCGCTCCTAGAGTCCTCTTAACACTTGGAGGTGAAATTTCTTCGTTCGATAATTGAGATAATGAGCGATTCGGTTCTTTATCAGGATCATCAGATACACCTCTGTTTCTAGAAGACCGCCGCACCGGCAAAGGCGCTGTAGCCTGGGTGTCTTCCTTAGCAGTAGAACGAGAGAGTGGACGGAGTTTCTCAGACACGGCAGCATTCGGAGCTAAAACTGGTTCAGCTAACACCCCAACATTTGCACTCTGTCCAGCGGTAGGACACACATTCATGAACTGAGACAACCGTGAAACAGTCTTCTGCCCCACAGTTGCCTCGAGTGCAGGTTGCGAATCCCTTCTTACAACCGAAGCAGAGCCCACCGAGGCTGTCTCCAAAGACACGTCGCCTCTTGAGCTCTTCCCGACCAAACTAAAACGTCCTACACTAGCAAAGGAGCCTGCACTCACGGCATTAGTATCCCTGTTCTCCGATACATCAGTTGCCCTACCATGCCGGTGCACTTTAATTGTGAGCCCCAAAGGACCGCTTAGGGGTGAAACAAGCTCCCCAATCCGACCACCCAATTTCCCGACCTCTCTCTCCAATCTCTCTGGTTGAACGCTTGTTTCCTTCCGAGGAAGCCTCCTCTGGGATGCCGCCTCACTACGGGAACCTTTGAATCCCAGCCCCAGGCCCAGATTACACTGGCTCCACGACTTCAAATCATGGCTACAACTACCAATTCGATGACCAGAACTGTTTCTATGCAGTGCGACTGGATTCGCAGCCTTCAAGCTTTCCTGCTGCATCTTAATCTTCTTACAGGCTTGCAAAGGCTCATCTTCATCCGGCCCATCGACCGAGACTCGCTTCCCTAGCCGGCAACTCCTCAACTGCGCCTTCGTATTCTCCTTCTCAGATTCCGATCCCTTACCGCTCAAGCCTCCGTAAAGCTCCATGGCCGCCAGGACAAATTACACTCCAACGAAAATCCACCGGCTTCCCATTCACCAACAAATCTGACAACGAGCCATAGCCCTCTAAATCAAACACGACCACCTCACGAGCATTCGCACTCCATGCTCCTCATCTACTCAGCCTAACTCAGCCATTTCAAACTGCAATTCTCTCGATCTCAACTCACACGACTGTAAGCGGGGCTTCCGCTCAGATCAACATCAACCCTGCAAAGGGAACCTGCGAATTCAAATTCAGCAAGGACCGCAAATGGTCACGGATTGCAATACCGGTCGACGAAGACACACTCTGATACTTCACATGCGAAATGGCGGGAGCACGTCAGCGCGGGAAAATAAACCATTTGTTAATCTTTCCAACCGTTACTGGTAAGAGCGGGTACTGCGGGAAAGTGTCCTACGTGACACTCCCAGTGTTGGGGAACGTCGCGTTCACATGGATTTAAAAGATCGTGAATTAGTATACATTTTTATCGTTCCGAGCTTTGGAAGGATAAGGGATGTCCAGGTTCGGTACCAGACCCAACTCCAACCCAGATGCAATTTAGAGCATCTCCGGCCCACGTCTCAATTTACAACTACAAGCTCGTATTTCCCCTCAAGGAGGAATTCCGTCTTAGTTTGATTGTTGACTGTGATGTGGTGGATTTGAGCAGAAACACGTTAGAACTGCTGTTGCGTGGTCATGCACTGTGCAGTGTGAAGAAATGCATGCATCTGTTGCTCATACAAGTCTCTACGAAGAGAAGTCGAAAGCGATTAACGCAGATTCTTGTTGAATCCCGTCTTGTATCAGTTCTAATTCCAAAGTTATGTCTTACATTCCGACGAATTCCATGCTGTGCGCAAAGAAAACCATCGTCACTGGATGTGGTTATGTTTACATGGAAATACATTTGTACCTAATCAAAGTTGTGAGGTTAGATTGGTGGAACTTATTGTACACGGAACTAATGCCCTAGGAGTTTTCTTCTACTTATCGGAGGTCTAAAAGGATGTGTTCCTCAAAGACAACCGTGATGCGAAGCTCCTTCTGTGCTTGATAGGGATACGCCGAGCAGCGGGCAAAGGGCACTTCAAGAGAGGAGTAATCTAGAACTATGTGAGCTTGAATCTTATTCTGCTAGATTGGTGTCGCAGCGCCACAATTAATACACGAGGGGCATTGCAAAAGCAGGAAACACCCATGGCATGCTCATGCCTGCACCTCGGTACGGGTCCATGTAGTGCGGACCCATGGATGCTGCGGTAGAACCCTCCATGTTGCTTTCAAGGCTGAGCATCATGTTCACATACGCATCCCGAAGCTTCTTCAACAAATGCAGAGGCGACAGCCGCTTGATCTTCAACTTAGACACTCTGAATCCCCACCTCAGTCGTGTTTCGGTGCTCTTGCTCCTCCTCCCGAACTTCAGCGCCATCCTCTTTTTCCTCCATCCCGACAAGAAACTCTTCCGCCATTTTGTGAGCTTTCCATCTTCATCATCGACTCGCTTGTACGGATTGCTCATACATTGCATCCGAGCAATCGCCGGAGCTAACACCATCACTCTCCTCCTTCCCATTGCGGCCACTACTACAGCATTCGCCCCTGTGAAGACAAACAGAACTCTGCAACCATCAACCCCGATATATTCCTACCAAACCTACTAAAACCTCCTCATCTCATTGATTGCTAAATTTGGATCACGTTGGAGAATGAGGTCACCAGAGATCACATCACTCCACAAGCACGGCTGGTAGGGAAAGGAACACTTGGCGAGCAGCAGTCGTAGCTTAAGGCCAGCTCCATGATTGAAGCGTGAAAACACCTTCACCAGCAGCGAAAAAGAGCCGTAAGCTGCCCGAAATTTGTCAGGGTCGATCGACAGGGTCGCATATATGTACGCGGGTGTCGCGTGTGTCAGAATGATCCTGGCGATGCATGCCACAAAAGCTGCGCCCGGATCAAACTGGCCCTAGAATCTCGAGCCGTGAGTCGTATTGAGATCCGTTGTCCTTTCGAAAACAGCCAATATCACATTACGCATTGCATTTAATAAGAGCCATGTCTATGAACAGGCATAAAATTGTGTGCGACTAGGTAAACGATGCGCGGTTCAACGATTGCTCTCATACTCACCTTGATGGCATCTCTTCCTGCTGCGCCATTTGTTTGCTCCTTCGATCCTCTGATTCTAAAGCAGGCAAGCATAACTTTCGCACCTTTCGCCCCCTTTCGCTTCTTTTTCTTGCTTGCTCTCTTTCTTTCATTTTTCTATATGTCCCCTGTTTTTAGGGGTCGTTACGAGCGTATTTTGTTTTATGCTTTGTGTTTCCTACTTGGCTTCCTTCCAACCACTGCAAGATGGAGAAACAAACACTACAGTATTACTCCATCTCGCAGTGGTACAATACTCGCAGATGGAGTAGTATTCTCGTGAACAAGAGCTCTCGTATTGTAACACTTCGATCAATTTCAAACTGATGAATGGAACAATGCCACCATCTTTAATTGATAATACTGATTAGTGAAATTCGTAAATAAAAATGATTCAAGAGTTGTAACTTTTTCTGATTAATTGATGAATGTGTATGCGTACATTCCTGCATTTTGTCCTTTCTCTTTTCACCGAGTCAATGTGAATCAAGTAAATGCGAAGCGAGTCATAATCACTTTTGCTTTTCCTCCTTCTAGAAGACAGGTAATCCACTGTACACTATTCTGTGGGGACTATACGGATTGGGAAAGCCATTCTAGAAGTGAAGCATGAATAAAATGAATGAATGAATAAAGAGGTACGTGGGAAAAAAGCGAAAAGAAAACAATTAAAGAAGGAAGAAAAGAAGAAGATTGTTTTGGTGATTAAAAACTGTTGTCAGAGATTTTGAATTTCTTGACAATTTTTTACAGTTCATTCTTTTCCCTGTTGTGGTATATTTTTTTGGATGACTAGTCGATTCTTGTGTTTAGTGTAGGATTGGATGCTCAAAACGTGGTCATGTTTAGTCTACATAAATGATTGTGGGTTTTTATTTTATTAAAAACCAAACAGAATGAATTTGGTTTCTTGTGTCAATTAGATCTGAACTATTTCAAGATTGGTGACCTTTTAAAATATTTCTTTTGGATTGTAAAACTAAATATGTTTTAACTTTAAAATTATCAAATACAACATTGGTTTTATTTTATTTGTATATGTATATGTATAATAATTCTTCTATAATATTTGACTTTATCTAGTAATTCAATATCAAACTTATTAAGGGTAAAAAATATCATGCATTAAAGGCTATTGAGTTATTAGATAAAATCAAATGTTGCAACAAATTGTGAATAATACATATAGTATCATAATATATTGCAAAGAATAGATGCAACTATTGCAGCTTTACTACACATACAAATAGAAATTTTCTATGCATCTCTACAATAATTTAAGCTCTAAATGGCTTTCAGACCTCCACAAAAATGTTTTGTTAATATCATGCTTACCTTCATTCTAAGTTTCTAATTCATCTACACAAACCACACAATGCCAACTAAATGCATAGTACTCCAAGACTTACAAGTTGCTTATACTTGCTATACTAAACATTGTTTTTGTACAATACTTCTTTTCGCTTCTATTTTCTTTCTCAATTAAATTAAAATTACCTCTAAATACTCCAATATCCACTTTATTAAGTAAATGCAATTGCTTTGACTTAAAATCTTATATTATATTATCAACTATATAATACACAAATATTTTTATAGTAGCCAGGCATCAAATATCATTTAGAAGGAATTACAAACACATAGCTTGTATTAGAAGTCTTTTAGCATTGTATACGCTAAGAAATACATACATTTTGTAATATCAAGGAGTTTGATTATAAGGTAGAAAACAATAAACTTATCCTTCTTTAGCATCTCTTGCTCAAGCTTGACTTCAAAGTCTTCACCTTCATCTTTAATATCTATGTTTTTGGTACTTCCTAGTATTTTATTATTAGACAACTACTCATGTTCCATTAAAGCGTCAATATTAAGGTTGAGAAGGACTTCCATCAATATTAAGTTGTGAAAATATATTCATTGGATGCTATTTAAAAATTCATTATTGAAGACATCTTCATCCTTGTGATATTAAACTTCTTTGGAGAAGCTTAGAAAGAATCTTGTATATTAGAAGTAATTTGTAATTATTATTATATCCTTATCAATCGAAACAATTTTCATCTAGTATATCAATATTAGTTAATCAATCTTATAAATATTTATTTTTCCTTGTTTGTCTTTGTCAATTATATTTTATAAATAAAATTATTAATAATGCTATTTAAATGTAGCAATTATGTTAGCATCCATTATTTATAATTTGGATGTTGTCTCAAAAAAGAGCAATGCTTCTTCAATGTGTTAAAATTCTAAATTATTTTTTTTATAGAAAAATATATTATTATTAATATATATATATATATATATATATATATATATATATATTTGTAGCTTTTATTTATTTTATTTTATTTTATTTTATGAATTTTCTAGCCATTTTAAAAACAAGAGTCCATTCATCTATGCCATTATGTTACTTTGATAATAAAATCTAAGCTCTTTCAATAAACTTCTTATTGAAATAATAGAACTTTATTATATTATTATTAATAATTCTTTTAAATTTTCTACTTCTATTTGAATTTTTATTAAATACAATTACAATCCAAGTTTTTTTGTTCTTTACCTACTTGATTTGCTTCCATATGATTAGATAATTTTTAAAAATAATGGCATATTTTATCTATATAAAACATATCTTTTATAGCAAACATTAAATTTATTTCTATCAAAGTAATAAGCAATGAGAAAACAAGTTTTTTATTAGTTGACTTGCTTAGTCCAATGACTTAAATAATTTGGATAAGAATTGCTTTTGGAAGTGGTAGATCCATCTATTGAAAATTTAAGAATCTTTTTTTTCTATTAGTATTGAAGCATTTAGTAAGTTATTTCTTTTTTTTAATTTATTGTTAGTTCTTTTGTATTTGTTGCTATGTTTACTTATTGTTCGAGGATCCAATTTACAAATGCCTTTTCAACTTCTAGAAAACAAATAATGTATTTTTCTTTGGTGAAAGTTGCACCAATTGCATGCATTTAAGGCTTTCATGTTGCTTCAAGATGTTGCTCATGGTAGATTATAAAGGGGCTTTGCAAAGCTAGAACTTTTTTTTAGTCTACAAAAATAATCTTTTTTATTTTTATTATAGATTATTAATATTAAATAAGCATAATTCTAACTTTTTA